ATACAATCTGACTTCTTCTTGTGACCAGAGGTGTCACAGAGGTTTTCAATCTACCTGGTTGATCCTGCCAGTAGCATATGCTTGTCTGAAAGATTAAGCCATGCAAATCCAAATGGCCAGGACAGTGAAACTGCGAAAGGTTCATTAAATCAGTTATGGCTCCATCTGCTGGCTACTCGAAAGAATGCAGATTTCAAGCACTTGGCTTTGGCTTCACTTTTCAGGCCCGGAGGCTACGTCCATGTTTTATAAACGCTTTGCATAAAGTCTCTAAGGAAAGAAGTGGACACTGTCTGAATGAGGAAGTCCTAACTACTGGAATTAAGGAGTATTATTGGATGTGTGGGATCCAGTGGTATGAAAAACTAAATCAGAGGAATCCCCCTCAAACACAGGACATCTTAAGCCAAGACTACAGAATGCTGTGTTGTCTAATTACAAGTCCACAAAAACATGACACTATCTCACGTTTTATCCAACCAACAGTCCAAACTCCAAAGATATTCACGCAAGAGACATGAAACAAACTGTAAGAGTACTTTGTGCTACAACATGCTGCCAGAACATCTTAACAGCTGCTTACTATTGACTGTCCAAGTCTTTAGAACTCTACCATAAGGGTTGGGCACCATTTTCCCCAAAGATACCCCTCATTTGGTGTTTTGATAATGGTGATGGAGAGCACTGTTTAACACACGTGTACAAAATAACTCCCATAGATAACTGAATGGGTGAAACTGGGTGATCCTTTTCATTATCATTGAACTGTACAGCGGGCAGAAGCACCCTACTGACATCCTGCCATCCTAAAAGAGATGCTTCATCTGCTCTGAACAACCTGGCATTGACCTGAAGTGACTGTTCCCTCTAAGGGGACAAGTGGACTTAAATCATGGCAGGAAAATGTCCCACACAGCACAGCAGAGCCACCTCATCCCCTCCACTGTGGACATGGAGGTTTTTTTGGTTTGTCTGTTGTCTATCATAAATAATCCAAACCTTCACATTGAATAAGCCAAAAGGGAAGCATTTTTCTTGATCTATTACGTAATCAATTATGTGAAGTGTCACAGAACCAAACTGATTCTGAACAACGTATTTCTTCAGCATCCCATCCAGCTGAGCACAAAGTTGAAGTTGTGACTTGTTTCCACAGAACAACAGCTCTGACCCTCCTCTCGGAGCCCACATCCTCCTCCTCACAGCAGAGTGCAGAATTGTGGGGAAAAATATCATTCTGACACCTCATTTGTCTTGAGAGTGGGGAAACCATGAAACACAGAAGAAAAGCATGCATGATTGCTTTATCAATATAAAGTGAACGTGATGAAACTTGTGTTGATGGTTCATCAATTCGTCCCACCAGGAGAGGAGCGCAGACGTCTGCTGGTGATGAATGTGTTGTTTGGGCACTACTGTACACAGCAACAAATCCCAGCCTTTCACACCAGCCCAACACATTGGCCCCTGAACAGCAGCTGCAGTTACTGCAGTGGCCACATGGGGTCAGCAGAGCACCAGAGGAAAGCAAGCTGAACAGCCACTCCTTCACTGTTTAAATCCTCAGAGCGTCAGTGTATGTTGCTGACGGACCTGAATCACATTTACTGTACGTACACACTAGAGCCAAAGGAAGGTGTTTAATTTTACCAGCTAATCTGATTACTTTCAGACGTATTAGCCAAAAACACCATCTTATTTTCTCATTCACCCTCTGAAGATTGACTTTCTATAAGCCTTCCCTGTAATCAGTATAGCTGCTGTTCAAAAGCTTTAAATTGAAAGTTACACCAAAAAAGCAGGATGTGCTAATTTTACGTGTTTGAAAAATGAACAACACTTCAAGTCAGCGCCAATTCCCAACACAAGTCATCTCAGCACACTTCATGTACAACATTACATTATAGAGAGGTGCTCAACACGTCCCTCTGTGGGCACTAATTCTCTGAATAGCTGAAAAGCAACAAAACAGGAACAAACCAGAAACTAACTGCTGATTAGTGAAATGAATCCATGAATACGCAGTAGATAATATTAACATTAGACACTGTACATTGTGCAGCCAAAAGTAAGTCCTGACATGCGTTACGACAATAATGGTGCAGCAGCTACAATAACGTAAGAGGCAAACGCTACAATATGACAACACACTGTAGGCCCTGGATATTATAGCTTATCAAGCCTTCACAGAATAGTGGAGCCACAAACTAAAACCACTGACAAGTGAAGTGACTAACATTAATTACAATGCACTGCTCTGCTGGGAAAACCTGGGTCCTGGCATTTTTGTGGATGTGACTTTGACATGTATCCCCCCCAGAGATTGTTCCAGACCAACTACCACAGACACTATCTGGGACAAGGTGCTCAAAAGTCATTTATGTGTAGCCATGCAGACTATAGACTATGTAGAAAACAAAATAAAAATATGTTATTGCCATTTTTAAACATATATACCTCACATATCTTGATACGTAGCTCGATCATGCCCCTGTAATTTAAAGTTGTACATGCCTCAGTTTTCACTTCCTCAGCCGTTGTTACCAACTGTCATTAAATTATGAATTATGACATTGGAAGGCTACAGTCCCACAATTGTTCACTCTAACAAATACTTTCTAAAGTGAACTGATTCTAGAGTAGTGCATGTGAAGCTGCATTCAGCTGCTGCTTTGTCCCATATTCTCTTCCCACTTTCCTCTTCTCTGCTTCCTCTCTATCCTCACAGGAGCATTGCAGGTTGGGGACACGTTGCGGATATTTATGGCCCCCCGAACGGCACTGCAGTGTTGTAATTGGCCCAACAATGACGCTAATGCTCGGGAAGAGGAACTGTGTATGGGAGCAGAAAGTGATGCAATGTGCTGGCAGAAGATGGCAGATCCTCCCCGTAATGAATGCTGGTAGAGAAAGGTAATGAATAGACGGAGAGCTTAAAGGCACATATACGTAAAGTGAATGCGTATCAGCGAGGCTTTTACCCAACCTGCCGCTGTGCTTCATCTCTGCCTCTTCAGTCTACCACTCTTTTCTGCCAAAATCAGCCTCTCTCCTTTCTTTATCCTCATCACTCAACTCTTTCTCCCTCTCTCGTTTGGATCCCATTCCATTGCAGTGTAATGGGTTTATTAGTGTGGTTAATGCACTGTGACCTACTGGGGCTTGCCGTCTACCTTTTTCAGCCGCAAAAAAAAAAAGGAGGAATGTTTTTAAAAGGGAAGCCAAACAGGAAGGAGGTATAAAAAGGCAGCAATAAAGAAGGAGGGGAAGACCATTTGGAAACAAAATCATAACTAAAGAATGAAGTGAATGAAGACACAATAATGGAGAAACTGTTCTATCACCTTGCCAGATTTAGAAAAGGGAAACCAGAAGCTGTGACTGCTGGAATGCCAATGCAGATGCACACATTGACAATTAGCAGCACAGAGTTGTCCTAAACAGGCTGGGAGCGTCAGAGCTGATAGCTGCCATGTTTACCCAGACTGGGACAGACAAAGTCAGCTTTGGAACCAGACGTGCTCAGTGCAGATGAATGTTTCTGCTACAAAAGTCTGCCAGTGAGACCTGCAGCCAGTTTGTGGTATAATGAAGCCATTTGAAGCGGGACCGCAGTGTTCCTCTGTCTGCCAGAGCTGAGCCAAACTAGAGTTTTAGTGAGTGGAGGGTTTACCTGGGAGGGAAGATCAGGCTTGAACAATGACAGCTGTCAGCATCCATCTTTAGGGTTTGATTGATTCACCAGAAAAACTGAACAGGCCAGGAACTGTGCAGAGTACACACAGTCAAGACTTGAAGCTGCACCAAGAACTAATCAAATTGTAAAAACAGATGATTTTTACTGTGAAAGGTGTCACCAGTAGGGACAAACCTACAGATAATTTAAAAAAATCTGCAGTTCACCTCAGCTCTTCAGGCTGTTGTGGTATTTCAGACTTCTTCATCTTCCAGTTTTGGTTGACTGTCTGCACTCTCATCAACATTGTTGTCAGCAGAAGTCACACAGGAGACGATAGTTGTGTTCTTACTCTCAATTCAATTCTATTTTATGTATATAGCGTAATTCACAACATATATCACCTCATAGCGCTTATGAAGACCTTATGAATTTTAAGCAGTCCAAAACTGTGATTGAATTCCCTCTGAGCAAGCGGTTGGTAACAATGGGAAGGAAAAAAAAATAAAAAATCAATAGGGAAACAAAAAAAACTTAGGGACAGTTCAGGTGATCCTGAGCAGCCCTAACTATAAGGTTTATCAAAGAGAAGGTGTCCGCCTCCCGAACCCGAAATGGAAACTGATTCCACAACAGAGGCTGATAACTGAAGGCTCTGCCTCCCACTGTTCTGGAGACTCGGGGAACCACAAGTAGACCTGCAGTCTGACAGCAAAGGGCTCTGTTAGGATATATATACACAAAAACATATATATGCAAATACAATGTTGATCTACTGGAGG